TAATAATTTAGGCTTGACCGAGCTTTCGACTAGTGTCTTAGCGAGCCTAGCCGAGCCTCATCATGCTCGGTTTTTTTTTTTTTTTTAATTCGTGACAATTCTAAATTTTTTTTAAAGAATTTAAAATTTGTGCAATTTATACGTATTATAAATAATAACTAAATATTAATATACAACTAAAATGAAAAGAAAAAATAAAAAAAAAACGAAGTGACAAACAACTTTTTTTTTTTAATTTTATTTTTTAGGCTCACGAGGCCGGCCCATCGAGGCACACGGGGTTGCCTGGCTCAAGCTGACGCCCCAAAATGGGACTTGGTCCCACCGAGCAACAAGCCGGCCAGGCTCGGGCTTTTTCTAGGTCGAGTTCAAACCGACAAGCTATTTTGCCATAATGCCATCCCTAGATCTACCCCATCATTTATTTGATCCAAACAATCTTTTATTACTCGGTCACGAGAGCCCTTGTGGACACTGCCCGAGCTAGGCTCACCCTCCATGCAATCTGCGCTAATCGTTGATGACTCTATGTTGTTATACAACTGATATATAGATCAGGATATCGCGATATTTGACATTGTGACTCGCTGAATACCCTAGCACGACATGGTCTGCAGATGGGTGGATATTCCGCCTCGGCTACACAAAAGATGAGAAGGGGGAGCAATAAATAAACAGATGGTCAGTTTTAATTGATTACGCTTGGACAGTTGGATTAAGCACAAACCGTGATTTATGTTTGATTAATTATTTTTGCAAAAGCGACTTCAAATTTATTAATTAATTTTTTCTTGAGCAATAATTTCGTTTTGTAACCAAAATAAGTACATATTATTACCTGTATCGATCCCATTGGTTCGACCAACCGGTTTTGTGCAGAATTATCGGTTTCCGCTGCAATTCGTCCCAGCAAAAGCATTGCAGTTGCTTAGCCAAAACGATAAATTTTGGAGTAAATTTGAAGCTATTAATTAAAGATTATGATCATGGATGAGCTCTTTTTTTTTATTTTTTTATTTTTTTTTAAGTACATTATAATTGTAACTTATAATTGTTAAACACGATTATTTAATAGTACAACTCAATACAATAAATTAGAAAACTAACCGAGCCATGCTAGGTGCACCCCTTGATTTATAATCCCAAGATATCAATTATCAAACAATGACCACAAATATGGTCACATAACGGGGTGCCACCTTTGGCCCAACTAGTAAATATCACAAGTCACGACCCACCATCCCAAACCAAAGGATCCACCCCCAAAATCGCCAGGACTTTATCATCTAACGGTCAAATTGCAACCTGCTAGACCAAGGCTGATACCTTTATGCGGATGAAAATACTTGAGGGCAGGATCATCCAGACAACCGAGTATTTTTATGTGATCTTATCACTCAATCATCTAAATGAACAGTCGGGTATATCTTCGGATAGCTCCTCAACATAGTCTATCTAGAGAGATCGCAATGTCTAATGACTTGAAAAATTCACTAGGATCATGACTAACTTCGTCCAAACGGTTACACGCTCCTATACACCCAACAGAGTTCAAGGTACCTTCGTCACAATCGCTCAACTTATTTTCTTCTAGCACATATATATTTTCTATAAGCATCACTGACTTAACCATTAGAAGAACTTGATCCCGACATCACACCAGTGTCCCTTTAGATTCTTTAACGATTCTTCGTTTGTTCCTTTTTCGAGTTCTTGAGATTGCCAAGTGGCCCAATCATTCTTCTCTTCTCAACTGTCAAATCTATTCCATCAACATAATATTCTATACTACCAAAAAGCAAATGAAAAAAAGGAAAAGAAAAGACAGGTTCCTAATTCCCTTCGAAAAAAATCCATTTGCAGCATAATTGTAGCGTTGGAAAAAAAAAAATGTACTACAACAGTTATCGACATTCCCCTGCTTAGTACATGAACTTAGTAGAAGAGATTATCCTTTCCAGGCAAACAACAAAATCCTTCAACTGGATTTGTAATCAAATGTAAAGTATTTGCATGAACAAAAAAGAAACTTCACTTAAGAAATCCAATTTACTACTCGAAATTTAACTAAACTATCATATTCACAGCCTTCTATATCTACTAAGTTTCAAATGGTAGAATCAGGTTGATACTTGAGTACAGAATGTATCTTACAATGTTATAAATAGTCTGCAATAATATTGAAGATTAGATTGTATGTATAATATAAGCTGATTTCGCTACTCAAAATTAGGCATCAATGCTTGGTCCTGGGTATGCTGGTAAGCTCATGATACGCTTATCAACAACTGGGCCCCCGACTGTAAAATGATATAGGCTCTGGAACTTTAATCCTCTTAATCCAAGAACTTCATGTACTGCACAAGATTTCAGAATGAATGAGGGAATAAGTCCTTTGAAGAAAAGAAATACAGTTTAATACCGTGTGGAGGGGTGGTATATTATTATTTACCAACCAACTGCTGCATTTTATGAAATTATCTCGACAGAAGCCACATAGTGTTGGATAAGTATATTATTAAAATTAGTTTTCTAATAATATTAGACCTTGTAGGCCCTGGATAGTACAGAGTGGTAAAAGACGATTTACATTCCCCGCCTCAGTTTTATTAAGAATAAGCCTTAGCATGTTGTTCAATTCTATTAGCCTCTATGATTGTATCTCAAAACCCCTTTATAATCAGAATTAGGTGTTCCAACCATGTCAATCACACTATTAATAATTAGTATTACACACAGCACCCAAGGTTTGAATCCAAAGATAAGATGGTTAACTTACGAAAAGATAAGCACATCAAATGATAACCAATAGTCTCATGAGCTTTATAACTTCATTAAAAGGGAAGTGTATGGCGAAAATAAGGTTATAACATCCATTACCACATAATTGGACTGTATTTTCGGGTTAAAGATTCAGACTTAAGTTGTCTATTATGTTTAGATTATGGCAATTTCAATTGGCACTAGAACCAAATCCAATTAGAATTAGGCAGTACTTGGCCTCTTGCTGCACAACCAAGGACTGCCACAACATCAAGAAGTACATCTTGCATTTGATTTGTACACTTGGTGACGAACAATCAAGTTGAGAACACTTCAATGCAGCTATCGAGTAAGAAACATATAACGTTTAATCTATCTTATTGACAATACTGAATTTAGGCGACACTGGTTCACTAAATATATCTCATCGATCAACTTGTAATGGTCAAAATTCAAAATGATTTGGCACACTGGGCACTTCTCCCAACAAATAAGGTCCTTGTTTCTATTGTGATGTGAAAGAACTGTAATTCCAACTTCTTTTCTGTAAGATTAGCTTTTCAGTTGTGCAAGTAACTAGAATAATAGAGAAGTTTATTTTCCCTGTCAATCTCTCATAGTTCCATAAGCTCAGGGAAGGGAAACTACTACAATCTCAACCTACATAGTTGTTCATACTTCAGAGGTATTTAAGCTTCTGTTCAAAATGGGGAGCTGGAAGTGGGACGTGAAACCTGGGACCTTACATTTGCATTAGTGTTCATGGTAATATTAGATTCAATTTAAATCAGCTGCTCCTGATAGATCGTGCAGCTCCTAAGTCAAAGGAGTATAATCCTAGATTGAAATTTGAATCTGTAATGTTCATTTGCACAATTGTTCATAGTAATATTAGCTTCATTTTAACCACATACCAGGATCATCAAAGAAGCAACCAATCCCAGTAGCAGAAATGCCAACAGCATGGGCTTCAAGATACAAGACTTGGCCAAGAACTCCAGTTTCCCAAAAAAGCCGAGGATACATCCAAGCTCCCTTTTCACACAAAGTGGGCTCAACACGAGCCACCATACCGAGGCTAAAGCAGCCATCGCTAGCAATGTCCTGTATATCATTTACAAATTATATGAAAAACATCGATAACAGGTAAAAACAAAACAGTTGCTCATAAATATCTTAGCACCAGATTTTCAATTGATTCTAAAATGTGATAAGAGTGAATGCAGCAGAGCATCACGAGTTGTAACCGAACTGACACTGAAAATGGTGCAAGCAAGTCTGCAAAACAAATCCAACATCTGGGATTTATGTTGAATGATTTGAAATTATTCTACAATGGCAGTTAGGATTCAAGTCAAATGCCTGGCAAATTTAGAATCAGAGTCACCCTAGTGGCAGCATCCAATGGGGGCAAGACTGGGCTTGTCAAGTTTTAGCAGTAATGAGCAGGACAAGGGGAAGCTTGCAATGCATCACCTCTCTAGGCAGGACCAAGTCAATGGTTAGCCATAAATGCTTAGGAAGCTACTTAAGCACTTCAAGCCAACGGTTAAGCTCCAATGTGTAGTGGCCTCAGTCCAGTCTGGGCAAATACAGAGTTTAATGGAGTCTGTGCAGCTGTTATCTGCTAATTACTCAATGGGAAGCAACAAGAACCGGAGCTGATTTTTCCAGCTTACAGTTAAAACATATCTTATTCCTAAATAAGATATTTTGAATTTCGAAGTACTCTCATATTCTTAATTCCTTTGAAAGTTATCAAATTTTCGGAAAATGGAAAATCAACTATCACCTTTCTATTTAATATAATGACTATCTCAACAGGTTATGCCCATGCTATTTAAGTAACATTCACTAATTCACTTCACAAGATAGCTTCATAAGATCTGAGACAACAAGGCAAAGATGAGATGAGATAGAACTGGACGCCATCACATACACCCCTCAAATACGTCAAGGAAAATACAATTATGGCGAGTGCCTCAAATAAGAAGCAGCATATAAAATACCCTAAAAGATTACAGATCATGGCATAGTGAAAGGCATACTTGGTGGCAAGATAGCCGTTTCGAAAGCTCCTGACAATCGCCTTGGGCGAGCTCATATAAAAGAAGATCATCAGGACAGCCATCTGGCTTCACCCACTTAAATTCAGGTCTTGTTGCTTTTCGGAGCTCATCCAAATGGTCCTCATTTCTTACCAAAAAATACAAACCATTCGGCAACCCCACAACCCTATGAACAAACAGAACAGCATGTACTTCACATGCCCAAGGCAAAGCTCGAAATGGTAATGCCAACTGACTACACTGTTTCTGTCCTCCATAACCCGAAGGCATACAATGCAACAAAATCTGATAGAATGTTTCTCTTGACATCACAGTAAATCCATCCATATCAACCGCACTCCTACGCTTCCTAACAACCTCACTCAAACTAAACTCCTTGTAAGAACTGCCACTAATCATTCCACCACTCCTATACGGCTCAAAAACTGTTCCTTTCGTCATCGTTAATGGCTTTTTCACTGCCTCAGCCGTTCTATATATAATGTCCCAACACACGTGGTCTTTGCTAAGCAAATTAGGTTTCCCCTTCCACTCTAAATTAGGGAACTGCGATATAGCCAACCTCAATTCCTTGTAATCCACCTCAAAATCTGATGTACCATTTGGAATAACCAACAGCACACAATCTGGGTGCTCAAATTCAATCTCGGGCATTCTCCCTTTGACAGGTCTGCTAGGAATATTGAACTCAGGAAAGATATGAAGTCCCATCAACTTCTCCAACTCCTCGTATCCTAATCCATCTAAAACCCTCACATCCCACCCAAGCCCTGATGAGGCCATCGCAACTGCAGCAATGGCATGCCCAACATCATGATTACAATACCTAAAGGCCCTTTCGCCGTACTTCCAAGCTTCCCGCCAAAAAATTGAGGAAAAGCCGATCAGAAAAGAATTATCAGGGAAGAAACTCTTAAAAAAGCCCGATGGGATTTGTGCTCTTAATTCCAACGCGTGCTCTTTTGGCGCATAGTGTGCGACAAAGGCGTGTTCCGATAAGGAATCTACAGGAGGCGAAATGATATATGCTTCTGTAGGATGAAGATTTCCACTGCTTGGGTTTACACGTAACGACCAAGTAGAAAATCCAGTACTTTTCCGCGCAGATAAAGCAAGGGAATTGTAGAAAAATTGAGAAATTGTGGTTTTGGAAATGGGTTCTGGAGATGGGAGAGAATCGAAGACGGAGAAATAGGGAGGGCTATTCCGGTCATTTTCGTGGTGGAGGAGGGGCAGTAGCGGGGCGGATACGTAGCGGCGGAAAGGATTGGGTTGGTTTGCCCAGTCGAGACCATGGGGGCCACGGGCATAGTTGGTGAAGGAGTGTTTAGTTTGGTTGTGGTACTTCAACACTTGGCTTAAGAGCTCTTCCCTTTCTTGGGGCCTAGCGAGTGATTCAGGTGGTGATGATGGGGCCGATGACGACATGGACATGCTGACGAGAAGTTTACCGGCGACGGCAGCAGTAGAGTGGCGGAGGAAACGGTGGTGGTGGCGGTGGAGAGAGAGTGGGATTCTGCTGTGATAACTGAGAGGCATTTTGGGAGGTTACCTCCCGGAGCTTCTTTAACGTTCTTTAACCGTGCATCTTCTGGATATTTCCTCCATGGAATGATTCTTGGGAAAATTAACTTGAAACCTACAATTAAAAACTAATTATCATAAATGTGAATTAGTTTAAAATTCATATATCAAGTGATAATTAGATTTTAAAAATTATAATTAATAAAAATTTAATTAAACGTAATCTATTCCACCCCTACCCATCCCAATCAATTTCATTTTCAAACTTTTTCACTTTCCTCATTCTCTCTTCCTTCTCTCTCACTCGCCTCTTCTCTCCTCCTCCTCGCAGCAGTGGCGTGATTTTCTAGACCAAATTCAGATCATTGGGCTGTAAATTGGAGTTGACCCATTGCTGAGCTAGGTGTGCCATGAAGACGACCCAGGTAGTTGATGACCGTGGGTCGATTGGGCTGCATCGAAATCAGCATTTTTCGAACCTGCCTGTTGCGGGTTTGCGACTGCGATAATTTCTGTGGCCAACTCAGATTTATGGAAGGCTATTTGGGATAAATTATGGCATGGTTGGGGTCGTCTGGTTGTGGGCAGTTGGCCAGAGGAGGACCGCAATCGTGGTGGTGGCCGAAATGTGTCATTTTTCTATTGGCCAGTAGTGTTTAGTGTTAGTTGGATTCGATTGAGGTTAGGCGTGGTGGTGTGTGGTGCTATGTCTGGTGGTTGGGTGCAGTGGTGTTTTGGATATGATTTTTCCGGTGCAGCGACGATGTTTGAATTTGGTGGTACGGGGATGAGATTTCGACCAAATATGTGACCGATTGTGACTTGAAATTCTAGAATTTTTTTGGAAATTGGGAGTGGATGGATGGGTGGGTAGGTTGATCGGAACATGCGTTGGAGTGTTATTGGAACAGTCAGAATTGTAATTGGAGTGGCCGCCGGAGTGGTCACCGGAGAGGTCGCAGGAGTGGCAGTCGGAACAGTTGCCGGAGAGGTGCAATTGCCGGATTAGATGGCCGCCTCCGGAGAGAAGGGGTAGGGAGATGATAGAGAGTAGAGAGGGAGATAATGATTTGGATTTGAAATTTAATAAATTGGGATAATTGTATTATATTATAATAAAAAATATTTAATAAATTGATTTAACATCTGATTTTTGAAAAAAAAATTGAAATTTGTTATTTATGAAAAGTGATCTTTAAAATAAGGAATTATGTATTGTTCCCAAGATTCTTTACTCGTTTGGGCTGGATCATGCCTGACCTCCTGGCCTTTGTTTGAAACTATTATTCCAGAACTCTTTCTCTGAAGTACTCACACTTAATCCGACGTTCATAAAATAAAATATTTTATATGTGAAGTCAAAACTTTTTTTTCTATTTTTAAACCACACACTTACTTAAAAATTATCATTCCAAACATTATTTTTTTCCAAATAATAATTGTCGGCTTAATATATTTTGTAAAATTAGGTTTTTTAATAATTTTAAGTGGTTTCATTTCAATAAAAGACGAGGCAAGACCATAGGCCTATTGATCCATTTTTAAATTCGTTGAAATTTGAGTTTAATTCGTTCTCCTAAGACGGGCAAATTGAGCTCCTATTTGACAATTAAGAAAAAAAACTTTTGAGTTTATGTATAGAATGTTTTATTTGAAGAATCCATAAATGAAAATGACTTTGACAAAAAAATTATAAAAATAATTGTCAAACAGGGGTTAAGTAATGATTGATGTTAAAGAAATGAATCTTGCTACACAAACGGGGCACTTGACAAGATTTAAAAACATGGAACACGTGTCAAACATTCATTGGATAGTTTGAAGAAAAAAAGAGCCAAACAGTACCCAATCATGTTAACTGTACTTATTTGAGTAGCTTAATTGTAAAGAAATAAAGAAATAGCCAAGTCAATATCTCGACAAGGGTTCAATCTTAATCCAACACAATCGAACATGACGAAATCCAGTACTTTTGATTATTACTGTCATCGAACTCGTATAGAAAGCTTCAAGAAGTCAAATCTCATGCTAGTTAAGGCAATCCCACAACAAACTTTTTTTTTTTTTCTTTTTTTAGGATTTTCATAATATTGAATCTTGGGATGAAGATAACGAGCAAAACATATATACATTTTAGTTACTTTTAATTAAAATGTACCCATGGATAGATATACATTTTTCCTTTCGATTGCTTTGATGCATTGAAATTTGACTCGTTAACAAATATGTAGATAGTTTTAAAAGTGCAGTGTTAAAAAAAAGAAAATAGGAGCTTTAACTAGAGACGAATTCAGGATTGGATTAAAAAAAAAAATTAAACCGGACAAATATGTAGAAATTAAAAAAAATAGAAAAATTACACACCCACCCTTGGCTTTACGTAAAGTTGACGAAAACAATAACATCATATGTAGGAGTGGGCAAAAAATATCAAACCCATTGTAGTTGGATTAGAATGGGACCAAATCGATTGGTTCGATTCGATTTTGTAGTATGTTTCTAAATGGTTCTGGTTTCTTGAAATTTAGGACTAGTCGATTTCAAAATCATTAGAACAATTCTAATTAAGCAATTGACCCCTTTTCAATTTATTTTCACAAAAGTTTGGTCCCGGAATCGAATCAAACCAAACCAAATCCGAACAATTCGGTTCCAATGGTTCCATTATAAAAGAACAATTGATTTTTAGTTTGATTCCAGTCCTCTTGAAATCGAAATCGAACCTAATCGCGCCCATACCTAATTATATGTAACATTTGGGAAGGGCAATGTCGAATAAAATTATATATAATTGATATATAATACACTATTCTATACAATTTATTTACATTATTCTTAATATACCCCTAGATTGGATAATAGTAGTTCAGGCCATGTTTGAGCCATCTTTTTATAGAATGAGAATAAAAAATATAGTCGTTATTGGGGTCCACACAAGGAATAGAAAATTTGAATTTAAATGTTGATATGATGGATAACAATCGTATTTTTCATTTTAATGAGATAAAAAGATGGCTCAAACGAGGGCTCATATTAGTTGATAATAAAGTGCATTCCTCTGTTTGACTCCCTTTAAAACAAAACAATTTATTTCTCATATTCATTTTTAAAAAACACGTTCACACAATAAAATATTTTGTACGTAAATTCATTTTTTAACTACACATACTCCAAAAAATCATTATTCAAAATATTATTTTCACACAATAATGACCATCAAATCGGGCTAAATAAGGACATAATAGAAAATTAAGCCATTAACATACTCCCAACAAGAAAATATGTCTATAATTTGGGACAAATAAAAAAGAAAAGTAAACCTATCTTTGTGGGATGGAAAGAATAGTAACAAATAAAGTCTGCCCATATCTGATCCCATCCGATAAAAATAATTCATGAATCCTATTCGATCCGAAAATCTAACGGATATTTAATTGTTTAATTCATATCCAATTTGCTATGTTATCGGATATCCGATCCAAAATGTTTTAAAAAGAGGGGATCCTCAATCTCAATACAAAATTTATTATAATACATATTAATTTATATTGGAATTTGAAAGGTTTGACATTCTTCATTGACAGTCATAAAATAAAATACAAGTTTCAAAATGAAAAAAATTATGTGTAATAAATTATGCGGTAATATATAAAATATATTATGTTATTGTAACAACTTGGATCGAATTGACATATATCCATATTTACTCTATTTAGTCAACGAACTGTAGGATTTGAATCTTGATTGAGTTATCGGATGGATACCCTAAATTCATTTCTCATTAATTTCATCGGATTCGAACTAAAATCCAATCCACTAATAGCCCTAATAACAATTGATAAGACAACTTTACAAGACTTGACTACGACTAAAGAAAATAACCATCATTTATGAAGCAACAAAAAGAGCACATATAAACAACAAGATTTGATCCAAACATGCATAGTTTAATGTATTGTGGAATTGGAATGAAAAAACTCAATCAATATGGACATGCTGACGAGAAGTTTACCGGCGACGGCAGCGGTAGAGTGGCGGAGGAAACGGTGGTGGTGGAGAGAGAGTGGGATTCTGCTGTGATAACTGAGAGGCATTTTGGGAGGTTACCTCCCGGAGCTTCTTTAACGTTCTTTAACCGTGCATCTTCTGGATATTTCCTCCATGGAATGATTCTTTACTTGTTTGGGCTGGATCATTCCTGACCACCTGGCCTTTGTTTGAAACTATTATTCCGGAACTCTTTCTCTGAAGTACTCACACTTAGCCCCCGTTTCCGTTTGATGCATATTTTGAAGGTAAGAATACATTTTTATTGTTGATGTGATGAGGAATATATGGTTGAAAAAGAAGAAAAAGTTATTGATATGATGAAAAATATTATTTTATTTAAAAATGTGTGGTTGAAATTTAGTAGAAGAATGAGAATGAAAAAAATAATATAGACCAAACAAGGCCTTAAGCCGACGTTCATAAAATAAAATATTTTATATGTAAACTCAAATTTTTTTTTCTATTTTTAAACCACACACTTACTTAAAAATTATCATTCAAAACATTATTTTTTTCCAAATAATAATTGTCGGCTTAATATGTTTTGTAAAATTAGGTTTTTTAATAATTTTAAGTGGTTTCATTTCAATAAAAGACGAGGCAAGACCATAGGCCCATTGATCCATTTTTAAAGAATAAGTCTTCTCGTACAGAAACATTATACAGAAGAATTCCAGGAATTTGAAATTTTGCTGACGTGGCACACACACCACTGTTGTTTAATTGAAAGCGCATTTCTCATTTCTATTTCATCACTAATAAACGTGGCGGACCAAACATAAACCCAAAGCTGCTAGAAATAATCCAGCTACGGTGCAAACCCAAACCCCCCGCCATTGTTCTCCCGCCGAAAAGGAGATCTAAGATTTTCTCGTCTCTCCTCGAAGCTCGGTGGATCGATTTCCGGGTAAGGTGAAAACCAGCTCACTAACTGGCGACATCAACGGCAACCACTCCCCATAGCA